GCTGTGCTGAGGATGCCCTCTGAGCAGGGACGGCACAAAGCCTTCTCCATGTGCCTCCCTCACCTGGCTGTGGTCTCCCTGTTTCTCAGCACTGGTATATCTACCAATCTGAGGCCCCCCTCTCTTTCCTTCCCATCCCTGGACCTGGTGTTGTCATTTCTGTACTCAGTGGTGCCTCCAACACTGAACCCCCTCATCTACAGCATGAGGAACCAGGAGATCAAGGATGCAGTGAGGAAAATGATGTCGTCATCACATTTCAGCAGGGATAAACTTCTCATCTGTCTCAATAAATGACTCACAGTCTGCTCTGTTACAGGCTTGTATCGTGTTTTTTACTGTTTATATTTTTTTCTTTATATTAATAGATACATTTTTCCTTGCTGTTCATATATGTGTGTGTGTGTGCAATTATCATTAGTGGCTATCATGTTCCTATACAAGCGATTGGCTTCCTACCACTTCTAGTGAGGTATCACCCTGCTCTCTTTCTTCTGTAGCCTGTATGAACTCTGGGTCAGTGCTGACTCTCCCACAGCCTCTGTGTTCCATCTCTGTATTTGCAGGCAAATGAGATGCCAGCAGGCACCATGGAGCTGATATAGGCTCGATTAGCAAACTGGATCAATGTATTCGCCAAAGGACCAATATATTACATTAGCAAAAGGAGTCAGTGTGTGCTCATCCTAAAACTTCCCATTTTAGCTTCACTTGGTATGTGAACAGCCACCTTTTTTTTTGCCTCTGCTGAGTGCAAGGACTTGTTCTTGAGTTCGGTATAAACTGTTTGCAGTTATAGTGCACTAAGATAGAAAGTTGCTGATTATGGTAAGCAAACAAGCAATGGAATTTTGCCAAACTGGGGAATAAGTGCTATTAGGTGAGCCTGGGTGCACTGTGATGGAGAGGAAGATGAAATAAAGGGGAGGAAGTAGGTGCTGTGAGAAGGAGGACGTGCGGTGTCGGGGCTGTGCTGAGGGCACATCTCTGTAGCACTGCACGCATGCTGCCCCACACAGTGCCTGCACTGAGCTGCCAGGGGCTGCCTGTGGGGCGGTGGGGCCGGGCTGTCCTGCAGAGGGGAAGGCACACAGATCTTCATGCTGCAGGGCTGGGACCCCAAAATCACCCTGGAACTCAGCGCCCAGCTGTGCTGTGCTCACCTTGCCTGGCTCCCAGGTGCCCCCTGTGCTGCTCTGTCACTGCCCCTCCTCAACAGGATGGGGGAGAAAACACAACTCATCAATTCCTGGGTTGAGACAAAAGGTGCTATATTCTTTCCTTGCTTAAAACCCAATGACAACAAACTGCGTGTGTTAATGGCTACATATCACTGCAGGTTTGTGGGTTTTTTCTGCACACTTTGAAAAAGCTACTGAATTCAGCATCCCTTTCACCTTAATGTATTAATTGAAATTGCACCTAACCTACTACACATGTTACTGATATTCTATGTAATATATATTATTTCCATGTCATGGTTTTTTGGTTTTCAGTATTCCACATCAAAACATCATGTACTGGAATTAAAGTGTTAATGCTCTAACTCTACGTACCTGTCCCTATACATTATGGAAGTCACGGGATCTGACCCTTCCGGGGGGGGCGGTCTCCTACTGCCTGGCAGTGGGTGCTGGAGGTGCTTTCCTAGCTGTTCCAAGCTTTTCAGGTTTGACTCAGTCTCAGGAACTCTCTCTGTCTCCTATCTTATTTGATTTATTAGTCTCAATTTCAATTAGATTGTATAATATTGTGTTACCTTGCATTCTGATATCATAGTAAAAATAAGTTTTCTTCCATAGATTCTTGCCTCTGTTTTTTGTTTTTTTTTTTTCCTCCCTTCCTTCCTTCCCATTTTGTGGGGCCGGGGGGTGGGGGGCAGGGGCCTACTGCCCCCTGTCATGGGCATAGATTGATCTAGTTAACAGATTTTGGTGGAGAATCTGGGCATAGCTGCTTTATAGAATGAATCTCTCCCCCTGCTCTTAGAGAGCTTCGTTAGGGAGCATTATCAGTAGTTCAGCTTTTTGTGCTGGAAAACTTGACCTTGAAAGACCAGGCGTACTGCCAGTATTCTGGGATATTTGTAAACTTGCTTAGCACTGCTTAGTCTGGGTAGCGCCTTTTTTCTTTCCCCCCTCCTCTTGTTAGCTTCAATTCATTAACCCCTTTTGAGCAGAAACCAGTGATGAACCCACTCTTTTTCGTGGGAGCGCTGAGTAAGGGATTAAAAGCTATGGTGTTACTCGCAACCTACTGGCCAATCATCAATATCATAATTACTTGTTGTGGAATTGTGTTCATATATAACCACATAAGGGCACTGATGGAGACGCCTGTATGGTACCTATATTGGTACCTATATGCAATGTGGTATAATATGAATTTTGCCATTTGCATCCCAGATGGAATGGCTAATTTTACAAGCAACTACATCCCAAATGGCATAGCTAATTTTACAAACCACACGATGTTCAAACCAGTTTCCAGGCTTTCCTCTCGGTTTATCAGACGTTTTCCCAATACTGAGTTAATTCTCATGTTTGTGGGCGTAGCCCTGTTCATATCACTCTCCCTGAATGTATTCCAATACAGGAGTAGTAAGCAGGAGTCTCCTCCAAAACCAGAGAATGCTGACTGGCAGGGAATATGGAGAGGTTTAGGAAAAATCTTAGAAGCATGGGATTTCACTCTTGAACACCTGTGGGATCCCAAGAAACTTAGCCAGTATTTGAGTCAGGGACAGTGCGGCTTACATAAATCTAAGGAGGTACAACTTATTTGGGGTTTGGCTTGTGCTTACCGTGCCCTATATAATACTGTTCTGGAGAGAGAGAGTTTCCGAGCTGAGGTTCAAGCCAAAGGGGAGAATCTCCAAGTCAAATCTGATCAAATACAGGAGACACCAGTAACAATATCAGTTGCCCCTGTGGAGGGCAAGAAATGGAAACGAGAGTCCTCGCGTCTAGAACGGAAAAAAGAGGAGGAGGAGGTGGAGGAAGATCCAGGTGAGGGGCCCTCCTCGGAACCACCAACATTAAGAAAAGCAAAAGGAAAAACTAAGAGACATGCAGAGGAGAGTGATGAAGAGGAAGTCTCTATTACTACTTGTCGGCCTCTGAAGATGACTGAAATCCAAGGCTCAAGAAAGGAATTTACACAGCGTCCAAATGAAACTCTCGTTTCCTGGTTAGTTCGCTGTTGGGACAGTGGGGCCAGTAGCTTGTCTTTAGATGGTAATGAAACTCGCCAACTAGGAGCTATTGCCAGAGATCCAGCTATTGACAGAGGAATTAGTCGATGTCTGGAAGGGGCTGCCTCCATCTGGGAACGAGTATTAATAGCCGTGAAGGAAAGGTACCCCTTCAAAGACGGCTTGAAGCCTGTGACGAAAAGGTGGGATACAGTTGAAAAGGGTATCCAGTATTTGAGGGAAACAGCCGTGGTGGAAATGTTGTATGACCCTAACTGTGTTTTTAACGACCCACGCCAAGACCACGACCCTGAGAAAGTGAGGACGATGCCTGAAATATGGCAGAAACTCACAACAGCACCAGACAGATACACCACTACACTAATGGCAACGTTTGACAGATACCAGGATCAACAGAGAAGACCCTTAGTTTTTGAATTCACAGAATCACAGAATCACAGAATCGTAGGGGTTGGAAGGGACCTCCAGAGATCATCAAGTCCAACCCCCCTGCCAAAGCAGGATCCCTACACCAGGTCACACAGGTAGGCGTCCAGGCGGGTCTTGAATATCTCCAGAGAAGGAGACTCCACCACCTCCCTGGGCAGCCTGTTCCACTGCTCCGTCACCTCACCTAAAGAAGTTCTTGCGCACATTGGTGCGGAACTTCCTATGCTCCAGCTTCTGGCCATTTCCCCTTGTCCTGTCTCCGCACACTGCTGAAAACAGTCTGGCCTCGCCACTTTGCCCCCCACACCTCAGATATTTATAGACCTGGATCAGGTCCCCTCTCAGTCTTCTCTTCTCAAGGCTAAACAGACCCAGATCACTTAGCCTTTCTTCATAGAGGAGATGCTCCAGGCCCTTCACCATCTTTGTGGCTCTCTGCTGGACTCTTTCCAGGAGATCCCTGTCTTTTTTGTACTGAGGAGCCCAGAACTGGACACAGTACTCCAGATGAGGCCTTACCAGGGCAGAGTAGAGGGGGAGGATCGCCTCCCTCGACCTGCTGGCCACACTCTTTTTAATGCACCCCAGAATGCCATTGACCTTTTTGGCCACAAGTGCACACTGCTGGCTCATGGCCAACCTGTTGTCCACCAGGACACCCAGGTCCCTCTCTGCAGAGCTCCTCTCCAGCAGCTCATCCCCCAACCTGTACCGGTGCATGCGATTATTCCTCCCTAGGTGCAAGACTCTACACTTGCTTTTGTTAAACCTCATCTGGTTTCTTACTGCCCAGCTCTCCAGCCTGTCCAGGTCTCGCTGAATGGCAGCACAGCCTTCGGGTGTGTCAGCCAATCCTCCCAACTTCGTTGAAGAATTGATTCTTACACTCCAAAGCTATGAACAGCTACCCCCAACTCACGCCTCCATTTCCGCCCTCTCACAAATGACGGAGCAACTGAATGAAATGCAAGAGCAGGTGTCTTCACTGATGAATCGTGACAAACCTGTAGAAGTATCAGAAACGCTTGATGAAGATCAGGATAATCAAAAGAGTCTAATGAAGGAGCTGATCAAACTAATGTGAATACAACTAATTAAAGATGATGAACCCTCCTTCTCAGGTGCACCATCAAAAATCTCAGCTGTTAGAGGCAAACGCTCTCCAGCTCGAGGAAGGAATCCTACATCGCGACTTGCCTTGTGGCGTTACTTACGTGACCATGGAGAAGACATGAGGAAGTGGCATGACTAAGCTACTCCTGTACTGCAAGCACGGGTGAGAGAATTACAAAGCAGATCAACCGCCAGTGCAGTTGCTCCGGTTACCACAGGTAATGAATAGAGGGGCCCTGCCCTCAGTCAGTGGGGGGGAAGGGATAATAGAGTTTATTGGACTGTGTGGATCCGATGGCCTGGCACATCAGAACCACTGAAATATAAGGCATTGGTGGATACCGGTGCACAGTGCACTCTGATGCCCTCGACTTGTGAAGGGACAGAATCAATCCATATTTCTGGAGTGACTGGGGGCTCTCAAGAATTGACTGTGTTGGAGGTCGAGATAAGCCTCACTGGTAGGAACTGGCAAAAGCACCCTATTGTGACTGGTCCAGGGGCTCCATGTATACTTGGTATTGATTACCTCAGAAGGGGGCATTTCAAGGATCCTAAGGGGTATCGATGGGCCTTTGGAATAGCTGCTGTAGACACAATCAACATTAAGCAGCTGTCTGTTTTGCCTGGCCTGTCAGAAGATCCGTCTGTTGTGGGGTTGCTACAAGTAAAAGAGCAACAGGTACCAATTGCTACAAAAACGGTGCACAGACGGCAGTACCGCACCAACAGGGATTCCTTGCTCCCCATTCATAAGTTGATTCGTCAACTAGAGAGTCAGGGAGTGATCAGCAAAACTCACTCGCCTTTTAATAGTCCCATATGGCCAGTGCGTAAAGCCAGTGGAGAATGGAGGCTGACGGTGGACTATCGTGGCCTGAATGAAGTCACACCCCCAATGAGTGCTGCTGTGCTGCACGTGTTAGAACTCCAGTATGAACTGGAATCAAAAGCAGCCAAATGGTATGCCACCATTGACATTGCTAATGCCTTTTTCTCCATTCCTTTGGCCAAAGAATGTCGGCCACAGTTCGCTTTCACCTGGAGGGGTGTTCAGTATACTTGGAACTGTTTGCCCCAGGGGTGGAAACACAGCCCAACCATTTGCCACGGGTTGATCCAAAGTGCATTAGAACAGGGCAGTGCCCCTGAGCACTTGCAGTACACTGATGATATCGTTGTGTGGGGCGATACAGCAGAAGTAGTCTTCACAAAAGGAGAGTGAATAATCCAGATTCTTCTGCGTGCTGGTTTTGCTGTTAAGCGGAGCAAAGTGAAAGGACCTGCTCAGGAGATGCAGTTCCTAGGAATAAAGTGGCAAGATGGCCATCGTCACATCCCGACAGATGCGATCAACAAAATCACCGCTATGTCTCCACCCACTAGCAAGAAAGAGACACAATCTTTTTTGGGTGTAGTGGGCTTTTGGAGAATGCATGTTCCAAACTACAGCTTCATTGTAAGCCCCCTTTATCATGTAACGCAAATGAAGAATGAGTTTACTTGGGGCCCTGAGCAGCAGCAGGCTTTCGAACAGATTAAACAAGAGATAGCCCGTGCCGTGGCCTTAGGGCCAGTACGGACAGGGCAGGATATAAAGAACATCCTCTACACTGCTGCTGGAGAGAAAGGTCCCACTTGGAGTTTGTGGCAAAGAGCCTCAGGAGAGACCCGAGGCCGACCCCTGGGATTCTGGAGTCGGGCCTACAAGGGGTCGGAAGAGGGCTACACTCCAACTGAAAAGGAGATCTTAGCCGCGTATGAGGGGGTTCGGGCTGCTTCTGAAGTGGTCGGTACTGAAACACAGCTCCTTCTGGCACCTCGACTACCAGTGCTGAACTGGATGTTTAAAGGAAAGGCTCCCCCCACCCATCATGCAACTGATGCCACTTGGAGTAAGTGGATTGCGTTGATTACGCAAAGAGCGCGGATGGGGAACCTCAGCCGTCCAGCAATCCTAGAGGTCATCATGGACTGGCCTGAAGGTAAAAAGTTTGGAACGTCACCAGCAGAAGAAGTATCACGAGCTAAAGAGGCCCCACCATACAACGAATTACCAGAAAATGAAAGAAAGTATGCCCTGTTCACTGATGGATCGTGTCGTATTGTGGGAAAGCATCGCAGATGGAAATCTGCTGTGTGGAGCCCCACACGACAAGTTGCAGAGGCCACTGAAGGGAAAGGAGAATCAAGCCAATTTGCAGAGGTAAAGGCTGTCCAACTGGCCTTGGATGTGGCTGAATGGGAGAGGTGGCCAATGCTTTATCTTTACACTGACTCATGGATGGTGGCAAATGCTTTGTGGGGGTGGTTACAGCAGTGGGAGCAAAATAACTGGCAAAGAAGGGGTAAACCTATTTGGGCTGCTGAAATGTGCACAGATATTGCTGCCGAAATAAAGAATATGGTCGTGAAGGTACGCCATGTAGATGCTCATGTGCCCAAGAGTCGGGCTACTGAAGAACAGCAAAATAACCACCAGGTGGACCGAGCTGCCAAAATTGAGGTGGCTCAGATAGACCTGGACTGGCAGAAAACAAGGGTGAATTATTTCTAGCTCGATGGGCTCATGAAACCTCGGGCCATCAGGGGAGAGATGCAACATACGAGTGGGCTAGAGACCGAGGGGTGGACTTAATTGTGGATGCTATTGCACAGGTTATTCATGACTGTGAAACATGTGCTATAATCAAACAAGCCAAGAAGATGAAACCACTCTGGGAGGAAGGGCGATGGCAAAAGTATAAATATGGGGAGGCATAGCAGGTAGATTCTATCACCTTGCCATGATTTCACAATGGTAAGTGTTATGTGCTTACCATGATGGAGGCGACCACTGGGTGGCTTGAAACATATGCAGTACCCCATGCTACCACCTGAAACACCATATTGGGTGTGGAGAAACAAGTCCTGTGGCGACATGGCACCCCAGAAAGAATTGAGTCAGATAATGGGACTCATTTCAAAAATTCTCTTGTAAATACTTGGGCCAAAGATCATGGCATTGAGTGGATTTACCATATTCCCTACCATGCACCAGCCTCTGGTAAAATCGAACGATACAATGGGTTGTTAAAAACAATGCTGAAAGCAAGGGTGGCGGAACATTTAAGCACTGGGAGAAGCATTTGGCAGGAGACACCTGGTTGGTCAATACCAGAGGATCTATCAATTGTGATGGTCCTACCCAATCCAGCTCCCTATATATTGTAGAGGGAGATAAGGTCCCTGTTGTATATGTAAAGAGCATGTTGGGAAAAGCAGTTTGGGTCCTTCCAGCTTCTGGAAAGGGCAAACCTCTCCGCGGTACTGTTTTTGCCCAGGGACCTGTATCCACTTGGTGGGTCATGCAGGAAAATGGGGATGTTCAACTGTACCACAAGGAAATTTGATGCTGGGGGAGTGCAGACAGTAATTCCATGTATATGTATATAGACGTGTGCGTGTGATGCATTTTTAATCATTTTGTTTGTTTGTATATGTATATGTATATATATATATTAAGCATGATGTAGTGATGTAGAATAAGGGGTGGAATGTCATGGTTTTGGTTTTTGCTTATTTGATTTTCAATATTCCACATCAAAACATCATGTACTGGAATTAAAGTGTTAATGCTCTAACTCTACGTACCTATCCCTATACATTACGGAAGTCATGGGATCTGACCCTTCCGGGGGGGCGGTCTCTTACTGCCTGGCAGTGGGTGCTGGAGGTGCTTTCCCAGCCGTTCCAAGCTTTTTCAGGTTTGACTCGGTCTCGGGAACTTTCTCTCATATCTTATTTGATTTATTAGTCTCAATTTCAATTAGATTGTATTATATTGTATTATTTTGCATTCCAATATCATAGTTAGTAAAATAAGTTTACCTCCATAGATTGTTGCCGCTGTTTTTCTCCTTTTCCCCCTTCCTTCCCATTTTGTGGGCCCAGGCAGGGGGGTGGGGAGGGCAAGGGCCTACTGCCCCCTCTCACGGGCATAAACTGATCTAGTTAATTCCATGACACTTACTAAACTTTCTCAGACTTAATGGCTATCAAGTTTCTCCACAGAAAGCCCAAGTGGCACAGCCACAAGTAACCCATTTGCACTAAGGAATCGCTGCGGGATCCTGAGCCCGAGGAAACAGCAAGAAAGGAAACAGCCAGACTCTGAAACCTCAAACAGCTGAGGAGCTCCAGATTTTCCTAAGGATGACGAGGTGGTGCTGCCTACCACCATGGAATACTGGTAAAGTCCCTCTATGCCTTTTTGAAATCTTGTCCAAAGGTCCTCATACAGGTTGAAGACGACAAATAAGAGGAAGGTTTAACTGTGGCAATTAGATACGGATTCTGTTGTTAGTGCAGAACAAAAAAACACTTTTACTGTGGGCAATGAGCTTGAACATTGTGCACTTGGTCAAGTGCCTTATGAAACGCGACCCTCTTGCCATGTTTGGCAGTGCTGGATCTTCCCTCCTGCCCTGAAGTAGATGGCACTGGAGCTGGGCTTGTCGCCCTGGTGCTGTTCCGCAGCACCCAGTCTGTGTTGTTGTGAGTGTTGGACTGAGGCACGGCTCTGTCAGCCTTATCTCAAGTCTGTTGTACCTCAGCAGCATCTCCCAGTAGTTGGTGATGAAGTCGTACAGGCTGTCAAATACTTGCATGCCTGCAAGGCGTTACATGGAACACCGCCACAGCATGGCTCTGAGCGATCCCTTCCTGCCGTGCAGGCTACAGCTTGTCCACACATGAAAGTCAGACCTCAGCTTCCCATGTTTCACGGTGAACACACTGAAGTATACCTACCATGTGCTGCCTTCTCCATTTCCTTCAGCAGTTCCTTTAGGAGACGGGATGAGCCTGGGAGTTTCTTCCTCATTTGGGTTCATCCTTTCCTCTTTCCAGACCTGTACAGAATGCATGAAGTCAAATATCACGTGCATGAAGTTTTGGAGACTAGCAGTGAGTCAGCGGAGTCAGTAAAGACAAACTACTCGCCGCTGGGATTCCAGCTGGGCTTCAGCACGGGAGGAAACAAATGACCAGGCAAAGACATCCACGGGAGCACTTCTGCAACCAAAGACCCATGAAAAGTTTCACTCGTACACTACAGCATCACTGAAGAGGACAGCATTAGGGGGAATCGTGCCATGAAATGGCACTGAAATGGGCAATGAAAGCTCTCGCAGGAATTACAAAGCCATGACTTACCCATGCCATCCACCAGAGTTTTAGTCCCAGAGCTCAGAGCGGATCCTGGATCACCTGCTCCAGTCACATCTGCAAACAAACGCAGGACAGAGCAACTCCCATTAAACATCCTTCCAGGCAGAATGACACAGGATGCAATTAAAGCCAGGGATTCCTTCACGACACTATTCTCTCCCTTCCACACCTCAAAAACAGTTCCTGGGTGCCTGCAGGGGCACCACCGTCATACATAACTAATCCCATGTGGAACTGCCCAGAGGAACGCCCTCCTGGAGCTCACCCCAGCTCTAAACTCAACTGCATGAACTGGATTAAACCTAGGCTTTGGTAAGCCACTGCCTGGAGACACAGCTGTAAGCAAGGACAGAGGAGAAATGTTCCCATTGCATGTGCTCATCTCTCTCTTCCTTAGTGAGCTGCAGTGAAGGAAGGGGCTCAGCTAATAACGGGGGAAAGTTGCAAAGCTGCAGAGCGGCCAGGTGACCTGCTGGCTGGTATCCCACAGCTTTCCAAATACTTTCTCCAGGCTGTGGGAAACAGTGCTCAGGGACCTCATGGAAGAACATTCAGCCCCTTGAAATTTTCTTGCTGGGAGACCTCAGAGATACAGGGACGAAGGCAACACAGCGCTGACAGCACGGAGCACCCAAGAAACAACGACCATCCACGCTTCTCGAGAAGAACCCGCTGGCCAGTGAAAAGCAGAACCCTTGCTGAACTATCCCAGCCAAATGTGATCTAATACCAAGAAAATGAAGCCTGGTGACTTACCTCCAGCATTCCCTTCAGGCTCGTAGACATGGTTCTCTTCTGTTGATTCACCAGCAGGGCCTGCAGGCACAAGTGTGATCAGACACAGGTGAGGAGAGCTTCCAGCACATGTGGGGCCTCCTTTTCCCTGAGTGACCTGTAGGGTCTGGCAGTGGGCCAGGGAATTCCATGGCCTAAATACAAAGCTCTGGGCTCTCTCAGCTGAAGAGGGGCAGTGGTAACCTTCCACTGAAATGTGGCAGCTCTCCCAGTAAAGAAATACTCATGGCTCGACTGTACATGCCCTTCAAGGCTCAAACAGGCTTGGGCCTGTTTGGTCCCAAACAGGGACTTGGGCCACAATTAAGAACTGTGTTCTGTAAAGGAAAACCACAGATAAGAGGGAGGATCAGCAAGCAGCAGCACGGCCATCACAGCTCTGGGGGAGGTGCTGTATTTTTCTAAGACTTGGCTATCCTAGCCACTGGAGGATGATGTCAAAATAAACCACTTTGTCACAGGTATGTTTATTGCAAAGGACATACTCATAATTGAGAGCAGCTTACTGTATTTAAGCAAGCAAACAAAACTCCTAAAAAGTGAGGACAGGTCAGTCCTTCACTGCCATACTTATATCAAGCTTCGTCTGCATGCAAAATATTGTCACAATAGTGACAGTTTTCTTCTTATGAGGTCTGGTCACTCTGAGCATCCAGCAACCAGAAACGCTGCACACGACTGCAGCAGCTACAACCCAGTGTGCAGGTGGACACAGAGAACTGAATCTGGCTGTGTCTTGCTCTTGGCCTGCTTACAGCCAGTCCTTGTTTTTGGATCTGTTGAGTCTCAGCCTGAACCACTGATTGAGCACCTGTGGAAAGGACCTGCTCAGCCCTGGGAGCACAGGTGAAGGCAATTCAGCTGTGTGACGGAAGGGTTGGAGCCTGGCTGCATCTCTTAGACTTCATGTAAGGGCTGACTGCAGCTGAGGAAGGATCTCTTTCTGGAGATCCCTCCTTGGTGATGCTTTTTCCTGTGAACCTGGAATCTTCTGATATGGGTGAGCTTCCTCTCTATTGTGCCAGTCCTTCCATCATCATGCCTCTGTTGTAATGCCTTTCCTAGCCACAGAATCACAGAATGGTCAGGGTTGGAAGGGACCTCAAGAATCACGAATCTCCAAACCCCCTGCCACAGGCAGGGCCACCAACCTCCCCATTTAATACCAGACCAGGCTGCCCATCCAATCTGGTCTTGAACACCTCCAGGGATGGGGCACCCGCAGCCTCTCTGGGCAGCTGTTCCAGCACTTCACCACTCTCATAGTAAAGAATTTCCTCCTGACATCCAACCTAAATCTTCCCTCCCTCAACTTAAAACCATTTGCCCTTGTCCTGCTGTTATTTACCCTTTCAAAGAGTTGACTCCCCTCCTGCTTATAGACTCTCTTTAGGTTCTGGAAGACTGCAATGAGGTCATCCCTGCAGCCTTTTCTTCTCCAGGCTGAACAAGCCCAGCCCCCTCAGCCTGTCTTCGTATTGGAGATGCTCCAGCCCTGTGATCATCTTTGTGGCCCTCTGCTGGTCCCTTTCCAACAGCTCTCTGTCTTTCTTGTACTGGGGGCTCCAGACCTGGACACATTACTCCAGATAGGGCCTCACAAGAGCAGAGTAGAGAGGGACAATCCCCTCCCTGTCCCTGCTGGCCACCCCTCTTCTGACGGAGCCCAGGATCCCATTTGCTTTCCGAGCTGCAAGAGCACGCTACTGGCTCATGTTCAGCTTTTGCTTTTCATTCATCAGAACCCCCAGGTCCTTCTCTGCAGGGCCGCTCTCAAGGACTGCTCCTTCCAGGCTGTATATATGCCAGGGATTCCTCAGGCCCAAGTGTAAAAACCTTGCACTTTGCTGTGTTGAACCTGAACCTTAGATTCACCTGGGCCTGCCTTTCAAGTCTACTGAAGTCCCTCTGATTGGCATTCCTTCCTTCCACTGTGTATGGGAACTGCTGAATCATGGCCTGAACCTCTGATTGATCACCTGAGGCAAACACTGAGTCAGCCCTGGGAGCACAGGTGAAGGCAATTCAGCAGTGTGACCTCTCCTAGACCCCATTGAAAGGCTGACACTCACTGAGGAAAGATCTCTTCCTGGAGATTGCTCCCTTTGGAGTTTTTCTGTGAGCCCAGGGTATGGGTGAGCATTTTCATTTATTTTTGATTATCCCTTTCCACCATGATCTTTCTAGCTATACAATCTGTAGATACCAGCCTAACCACACCACTCTGTATATTTGTTGACTATACACACTGTGTCAACCACACCACTCAGCTTGGTGTCATCAGCAAACTTGCTGAGAGTGCTCTTAATTCCATCATCGCTGTCACTGATAAAGATGTTAAAGAGCACTGGTTGAGGCTGAAGTCTGAGAGTGGGAGGATGGTGTCAGTCCTGTGGGCCAAGCATGTGACCTGGTGCACATCCCTTCCTTGTTCTCCATCCCTCCCACTCTCCATCCATCCCATCACTTCTGTCCTTTGCCATCCCTCCCTTCCACATTCTCCATCCGCCCTCTTCTTTAGCCTCTATTTCAGCTCTGTTCTCCATCCTTATCTCTTTCCATGTTCTCCATCCCACCCTATGCAACCCTTTCTACTCACCACTTCCAACTCCCCACCCCTCCATCTCCACATTCCCTGTTCCCACCCCACACCACCTCCTCATCCTCACCACCACGTATTTCCCAGAGTGCAGCACAGAGCGGTGCCGGTGCACAGTGACAGCAACACTGCGATTGCTGAGCCTGCCCTGGGTGTCAGAGAGTCACCTTGAAGGTACGGTGGACTCTGGCTGTGTTGCAGCACCGTGCCACCACACAGATGCAGTTGACCCTGACAGCCATGGCCATCCTACGGAAGCTCAGGCAGTGGTTTGTACTCACAGCCTGGCACGGCCCTGAAGTGACCACCACTGGCACTGCCCGGCCCTTGTCACCGCAGTGGGGACCACTTGGGGACACACAGCCCTTACAGAACCCATAGGTGAAATCCAGGATGCAGAGTGCAGCAGGTGCTGGTAGGGCAGTTGGGTGCTGCAGGGAGAAGGGGACATGGAGGGCAGGGTCCTCCCAGGTCTCCAGTCCTTTCTGGATGCCAGGATCCCTTATCTCCCAAGCCCCAATTTATAAACCTAAAAAAGCAGGTTACTTACAGATCATGGCTTGGAGGTGGAAAGCAGAATTTTAAGTGGATTAAGTTGGAAGTGCCTGACTTGGGGTCATACATGTAAAGCAAGAGGTAAAAGGGTACATTTGATGGTTGGAAATGCCAGATTATGGGCTTGGGGATAGAAAACAAGGGAAAGCTTAGGTGGATTTGGGGGTTAGAAATGCTAGACTTGGGGCTGGAGATAAAAAGCAAGGGGTAAAAGGAAAGGGTGCATAGATTTGAGGGTTGGAAATGACAGATTTGGCTTGGGAGGGATAAAGGAAGGTTGCTGCAAAAGGGTGGATGGATTTGGAGGCTGAAGATAAAAGTCTGGAGGAAGGAGAGGATGAGGAAGAAGGATCCCTTGAGAATACAGTTGGGAAAGAAGAGTGAATTTCAGCACAAAATCAGTAATTTTGGCCCAATGGGACTCACCACATAGCAGCACCAACCACCATAAAAAGGCCATAAAGCACCACCTTCACAACTCAGAGAGGAGACTAGGATGGTTTGGACAGTTGCTCTGAGAACTGCTGTTACCCCACTGACATGTGTACAAGTCTATGGGGCCGGATGGCATGCATCCCAGGGTTCTGAAGGAGCTGGCTGAGGTGGTTGCTGAGCCGCTCTCCATCATATTTGAGAAGTCGTGGCTGTCTGGTGTGGTCCCGGATGACTGGAGGAAGGGTCACGTCACTCCCATTTACAAGAAGGGGAGCAAGGAGGACCCCGGGAACTACAGGCCGGTGAGTTTCACCTCTGTGCCTGGGAAGATCATGGAACAGATCATCCTGGATGACATGCTTGATCACATGAGGAAAGG